ACATTACTATTTAAAAATGTATTTATTGCTTTTCAAAGTATTCTCCGCGAAATTTGACACATTTTTCCATACGATGGAACCAATCATTGAAGCAACCATTCCATTCGGAAGTTGGGGTCTCCAAAATGGCCGTTTTGTAGGCGTCCACAGCTTCTTCAGGTGATGAAAATCTCTGTCCACACAATTTATTCTTTAGTTTAGGGAAAGTATAGAAATCATTAGGGCTTAGGTCGGGGCTGTACGGCGGATGGTCTAATAATTCAATGTTTTCTCGCTCTAAAAACTCTTTTTGTTCTGTGTGCGGTGTGAGAACTCGCATTGTCGTGATGGAGGATGATGCGGCGGTTGCAGTTCTCTTTACGGAGTTCAGAAACGACGTGTGGCAAACAAATGCTAGCATACCATTCTGTATTAACCGTTCTTTGTCCCTCAAGAGGAATAGTCGTAACATGGCCAGTTTTGGAGACAAACGTAGCCACCATTTTTTCTGCAACACTCCGTGAACGAACGATTTTTGTTGGCTTTAACTCATTTTCGAACACCCAAACTCGTGACTGGTTTTTTGTTTCGGGTTCGTACGCATATATCCAGGATTCGTCACCTGATACGATGTTGTATACAGCATTTGAGGATTCTGCGTGGAATCTTTCGAGAGTTCTGACGCACCAAGTAACGCGAGCCGCTTTTTGCTCTTCACAGAGCGAATGCGGTGTCCATCGGGAAAACAACTTTTTTACACCTAATTGTTCATGCAAGATTATTTGTATTTGACTCATGCCAATGTCTAAAATTGCCTGAATTTCGCGGTGTCACATGTCGATCTTCCTCAATCAGCTTACGCACAGCATCAACGTTTTCTTGGGTGACTGCAGTTTTTGGACGACCTTGACGGGGATCATCACTGAGCTTGACACGTCCACGTTGAAATTCAGCAAACCAGCGATAAACTGTGGTTTTCTATGTGGCCTCATCACCAAATGCAGAAATCATCCGGTCAACACACTGTTTTTGTGTTAAACCACTTCGAAAGTCATAATAAATCATCGCTCTTGAATTTTCTCGAGTCAATTCCATTATCTCAACGACTATAAAAACAAGACCGTGAATCTTTTTATATATAATAAATAAATGGTATTCGATTTTTAAAACCAAGGAGTTTTCAATTAAAAAGATTTTAATATGACAGGAACAGTGGAAATATTCCATTCCCGATACTTTTAGTGCAGCCTATGAATATTGCCACTAAGGGATAGGTAATTTATTAATGAACATTTTGATCTTTAATTTTTTCAAAGGACTAAAATTCGATTCTATAAAGAAAATATTTTAAAATTTGTGCGTATTTCTTATGCGATAACGAAATATTGCAGCGAGAGCGCATGGAGTGTAGATCCAGGGCCGTAGTAAGCGCTTACCATCAGGTAGAGAGCGTGCTCGTTTGTCACCCTAATATTAGAAAATTATAAAAAAATCTTCTAGTGTAACAACATCGCACGCATTATGTAACAAATTAAATATTTTATTTGCCGTATTATATCTGACTGCGTGACCCAGACGGAAAAAAGTGCAGCCATAAAATTTATTCTAGTTTTCAGTTGCTCGACGTTAACGCTTCGCTTTATCTTTTTGCACTGAATGGTATGAAGCGTTGTCCATTAGGACATACGACATGCAGCACATACAAATTGTTCAGACATATTAAAAACCGCTCTTAAAATTTTTCACAAATCATTTCTTCATATATCCTGTCGTTTTTATAGACTTTAAATTCTAATAAGCGATCAGACCTAAAACCTGAATACATTACAGCATGAGCAACTACAGTCATTTACAATCATTTAAATAGTGTTTGTAATTGGTTTAAATTTAAAGCTTATTAGTCGCTTAAATAATTGAAACAGTGTAATAGCAATCGTTTTGTACGCGTACCCGACAATTTGATAAAATTACATTGAGTTAGCAAGCAACGCGTCACCTCGACTCGCTGCAACAGGTGTTCGATTTAATTACGTAATACGGCATACCGAGTGTCCATCGTCCATCGTTGTGCGTTGTGAGATTAATTGTGATTAATATAACTTTGTTATCATAATAAAATTAAAGCATAGGCGGACCAAATGCTCAAGGTCGTTCGCTAGGAGTAGCGCTTTAACGACTTTTAAAAAATATAGTAGTAGCAATTGCTGGTGTTTCGAATTTATAGTGCATTCAGCACCCATAGAATATATCCACAAGGGTGCTGTGAAATTAAATAAATAATAGTATAGTAGCTTTAAAGTTTTGACATAAGAATATCCGCTACCCCATATCGTCCCGTGGGTTGCGAAAGAGGTGACAGAGGGAAACGAAAACGGGAGATTGGCGGCAGCGTCTTCCTAATAACTACTGAAAATAAAAAACTGCGGTCGACAACCCGCCTGCCACACGTGAAAACTATGGTAAAATCCATTTGAGGCAATCTGTGGCAGAGGCCTATGTTCAGCAGTGGATTTTTATAGACTGTAAACCGAATTTACTTTCCGCTTTTAAATTAATTTGAGTTCTGATTTACATTTTGGTGCGATTGGTTTCCACCAAAAATCAGGGCTAGGATGACACATCTTAGCGTTTCCTGAGTGGCAGCCCTATTTGGACCATTTCTCATATAATAAGCTTTTTTGCTTTCTTAATTAACTCTTTCTTAATTCGCCTTTTTATATTTATTTTGTACCTATCTGCATTGTCAGTTTTACATACAGTCAACGTTTTATTTTTCATTGTAGGTGTATAATTAAGTCTAGTTATAAGATTACCTATACATAATGTTTATTTTGAGAATTTAGTGGTAATTTGTTAAGAAATGGCCAAATAAATATCTCTTTCTTTCTTTCTTTAGTGTAGGACACCACACGTAGTCCTAGTTACCTAATAGTAAGAGATACATATATTAATCATATAATCAAATTGCATATATGAGACGACTCCGTGGCGCAGTGGCTTGGCAATGAGTGGCTGCGCTGAGGGTCGCGGGTTCGAATCCCGCATGAAACAAGTATTTGTATGGCCTACAAATAATTGTTTCGGGTCTGGATGTTTGTCCTTGTGCAATTTATGTTTGGAAACTGCCCCCACGATACAGGAGAAAATCCTAGCGTAGGGGTAACGTTTTAAAAAAATATATGCGTTATCACCCCCAAGGGTTGGATGGAATGCCTCGTTGCCCGTAAAAAGAGTATCTAGTTCATTCTTCTGATCTTTTAGGCTATTATTTTAAAAAAGCGTAATTTATCTCTACGCATTAAAGGTTCTCGAGTGACAGCCACGTACCGGCTGAGTATACGATACGAGGTGGTCGCTTCCAAGATGTTTCTAAAATAAATTTTGTAAACTTTGTGACCCTTGACATTGTAAAATTTATTTTTAAAAAAAGTCCCGCTGTGTTTCTTGCTGGTTCTTCCCAGGACAGAGGTTTTTTTTTCGAACCAGTGGTAACGTAAAATATTGACTTTGAATAAGAATTACTTGTAATCTATATAGAATAAAAATTATTCTATTCTATTCCATTCTAGTCTATAAGACGACACTTCACTAGATGGAGCGAATACCTTATCACATGCATGAAGTCAACAGATGGCTCGGGACGATGTCTTGTGACATTATATAAGTAGAGGGAGTCAATGTTTAGCAGTGGATTTATGATGTACTGAAAAGAAACTGTACTGTTTCTGAAAAGGTTTGAGAATTAATCGGTAAATAATTTGAGGCAATGCATATTTTCGCTGCGAAGCATTTTATCAATGCGAACCCTTAAAAGGGCTGTGACATTATCTGAAATTATTTTGGCGCGAATAAATAGCTCGATCGGCCGTGAACTATACGCGGTTGTACATAAATACTTAATTGGTAAAATGTGTTTTTGAACTCGGTAAAGCTGCTTATGTTGTATAATATAATAATACTAGTATTACAATTTCTATAATATACTAGTATTATAATTTCCTAGTATTACAACTGGGTAGTTGACACCACAACTAATAAATAATTCATCATCATCATCATTACAGCCCTTCACAAGTCCACTGCTGAACATAGGCCTCCCCCAAGGAATGCCACAAAGCACGGTCCTGAGCCACCTGCATCCGTCGACTTCCTGCATGTCTTACCAGGTCGTCACTACATCTGGTGGAGGGTCGCCCTACACTTCGCCTACCGGTGCTACGAGGCTGCCACTCAAGAACCTTTTTTCCCCAACGGTTGTCGGTTCTTCGAGCTATATGGCCGGCCCATTGCCACTTCAGCTTACTAATCCGTTGGGCTATGTCGGTCACTCTGGTTCTACTGCTAAATATAAATAATTACTTACATCATTATTACCAATTACTCCACCAATAAAAACTGACTATACCCATAGCTCGCCTTAGACTACATTCATCAGATCCCTTCGTCTTGTCTATCAAAATTTTTAGCAAACTCCCAGATATGATAAAAAATATAAAAAAGTCACTATTTTTACAAATAAACAAAAGGAATTTTTAATTTTTAAACACACTCAACGAATACTTAAATGATAAATTTTAAATGCCTACCTAGTATTTGAATTCTATTTTATCTTGAAAATACCTACAGTTGCAATATTGCATAGTGTGATTATCATTATTGTTTCATTATAATGGCCCTCATCTCTCTTAATTGCCTTGCCCTGCAGGGCCCATAATGATCTCATAGTTTTAACTTAAAAAATGTTCTCAACATCTTAACTGTAACATTATGGATGCAATAAATAATATGAATATGAACAACATTTTAATGTGTTACTTTTAGTATTGTACTAAAACTTGGTCATTTGCCTATTCTAAGTTACATTCATAGTATTCACAATATACAAATAAACGTATTATTCGATGATAAAAACTATGTCATATCAGTACACTGTATACAATTTCTAAATTAATTCTCATATTAAAAACTCATAAAAATATTTCTGTCGATTAGTTTAAAAAATATCCATTCATAAGCATCTCATGATCATAAAAAAATGTCGAGGTGACCTGTCGATATACGCGAAAGCTGAACATCGTGATTTTATAATCTGTGAGAGTCAACCATAAGTCAATTTTTACGTGGTAGAGCCACACCGTGTAACAAGAAGACATTTGTGTAAAAATACATAATATTTGTATATCTGTATAACGGCTACAGTACGAAGGACCAAACCCTCAATGAATACCAGCGTAAAATAGCAGCATATTTTATTACCACTGTTTTATCTGGTGAGTATAGAGGTGTATAGAACCGTAGATTCCTTGAAAATGAAACTTTTCATGTCTTCAACGCATTTATATTTTCATTCTTAATCGAGAATAGATGCAAATATCTATGAATCACAACATCCATTTAGCATCAGGTGAACTGTTGGCCGATCGTCATCCATTATATAAATGTGAACAAACGTACCTACAGTCCACCTGACGGTAAGTGGTTACTGCAGTCGAGGAATATCTGCGGCCGACTTCAAACAAAGAAGAATACAGATGGGTTGTCTCCTCTGAGAATTGCAATAAAATTTCTCACAGCGTGTAATTACGCTGGCTCCCTTTATCCTTCTACCAGAACACAGCAATGCAAGCAGTGTTTAATAGTAGAATTAGGTAAAAGGGGGCTACCTAAGCAAACGGACTCTTGGCAGTAAAGTATTCCTATCACCTTACGTGGTAGAGCCACACTGCAACTATATTACTGGTATAGTTGTAGCACGAATGGGTCGGCTCGACCGGGGCAGGATACGCTCTCAAAGAATACCAGCGTAAAATAGCAGCTTAACGGCTTGTATGGTGAGTGTAGTGAACCAGAGACCTTTTTTACTGGAAATAAAGCATTCCATCTATCCTCACGCGTGCATTTTGATCTGCATTTTGATTCGTAATCGGGGATAGATGTAGATGTTCGTGGGCCACAGTAACCATTTACCGTCAGGTGGGCTGTGAGCTTATTTGTCATCCTTTCCCCACGAGGCGTGTATGGGTTAGAGATATCAAAAACAGACAGACTAGACGAAGACCGGTAAGTGAAGAAATGTACGTGAAGGTAATATGGTAACCTTAAGTTTTGCCACCCTATAAAACCAAAACTAGGAGAAGGACAGAGACAAAAACACTAAGTCGTACACTATAACTAATATATTAAGAAAAAAAAGCAAACACGCTTTGGAAATAATTAGGAACACTTTGAAAAATCTACTTTATAAAACTAACTACACTACACCATACTAAAATCGACTAAAATATTTACAATAATGTCAACTGTCAAAATGACGTCGATAAAGCATCGCCTTTTTGACCTTTTAGGATTTGATTGACCAATGAATAGCTATCGTAACATGAAGCCATCAATACGAACAAGGCTGTAGTTTTTGAGTTACAAGAAATTGACCATATTAACCGAATGACCATATTACCCTCACGTACTATAGTATAATAAAAACTAAAAGCTTAACAGAAATGTACCCATGCAGTCATCTGTAACGGATCATTAAAGAGGTGCAACAGACAAAGTGTTCTTCGTAGTCGCCTACCATAATTACGTGAGCCAGGAAGCAATTTTCTTGCAGCCATCAGAAAGCTGAGACTGCCAGCTTCCGCCTATACTGCGGAAGCGTATCGACACGTCCATCTGCTGTCACCCGCCTTGAACTTAAACATCATCGCATATTATGAACAACGAGATAAGCAACTTTTTAACGGTGATTTATCAGCATGAACAGAACTGTACCCGATTATTTAACCTTAACCTTAAAATTGGACAATTGAACGGTAACTGAAAAGATTAATTTTTAAGATGAGTCAGACCGTTCTCATTGCGTTAATGTCATACCGAAATCTATATACTTTATTTTTCACGTTTTTACTCGCTTTCGTGTATGTCTGTTCGGGTCGAATTTAATACTTGATTTTAAACGTTTTTTTATTTTATTTTTAAATTATTTATTTCACATAGTAAAAATTCACTCAGTTACAGTTTTACAGCCTGCCAAACTATTCAGCAGTTTGTTGGCAGAAAAAACTACTTCCCGATGAGTTAGACTTAGAAATTTTGAGCAAAGCTCAGAATCGGTTAACACGTATTAAACGAGCAATTCTTGTGTATATATAATCGTAATCTCGGAAACGGCTCCAACGATTTTATAAAATTTAGTGTCCAGGGGGTTTTGTCGTTTCGTTAAATGTCGTTTTATCCGTGTTTTCAGGCAATTAAAAATGAGTATTATAGCTCAAATGGGATCGGGTGGTCATGAAATCGTAGTGACCCGGTTCGGGTTCTGTCTTCGGTCCGACTTTATTTCTTTTTTTTTCAGGTTCCCTTCTTTTGTGAGAAACTCTATTATGTCGAGCCCTTTTTTGTATTTATTTAAAAACACAAAAATTTAAATAAAATTAATTGCACTCATGATTTTTTATTCAAATAACCAGTTCCGTTTTTTCTATTATGTCGGTAAGATCAAAAAATATTATTCATATTCCATCAGTATGTAATTTGTATCTAAATATAATTTCCAAAACACACGATTTGCAAAAATAATACCAAGCAAAGCTCGGTCATCCAGGTACTGTAATATAAGTATGGGCAAAAAAATAAACGGGTATGTTAAAATTTTTATAATACATACATAATTTTTGAAAGTTTCACTTAGTCTAGAAATACTTTTCGACACTGAAGGTATTTTATACAACTAAACTAAATTTTAAAAACAATTTTGTTGAGATATTGAGTAATAGGTAGTTTAGATATATACATACAGCTTCGGATTAGAATTGCTTTTGGGCCTATATTGAAAATGTACAGTATACGCAAATCATTCTTGAACCTGTATACAATTTAATAACTCTTGTAAAAAGTATAATACAGATTTAATACACAATAACCCTGTTTATTTTCAAATACTAATTCTAATGCTAAAATATTGTCGTAAAAATGCACTGCGTTAAAATATATTAATATCATTGATCATCATCATTACAGCCCTTCACAAGTCCACTGCAGAACATAGGCGTCCCCCAAGGTATGCTACAAAGCACGGTCCGGAGGCACCTGCATCCATCGACTTCCTGCATATCTTGCCGTTAAACCATCTAGTATCGTGATCGTTAAACCATCTAGTAGCTACACTTCGCCTATCGGTACAAGGCTGCCACTCGAGAATCTTTCTTTCCTATCGGTTGGCGGTTCGTCTAGTTATATGGCCGTTCCATTGCCACTTCAAATTACTTATCCGTTAAGCCATGTCGATTACTCTAGTTCCACTGCGGATATCTTACGTGGTAGAGCCATGCTGCAGCTATATTGTGGTTGCAGCACTGATGGTCGGCTCGACCAGGGTAGGACCACACTCTCACAGAATACCAGCGTAAAATAGCTGCTTAATGCTGCTGTGTTTCGTCTGGTGAGTATAGAGAACCAGAGACCCTTTTTACTGGAAACGAGGCATTCCATCTCAGTCCTCAGGTGTGACAACGCATCTGTATTTTGATTCTTAATTGAAGATAAATATAGTAGACGACTATGGGCCTCAGCATCCACTTACCTTCAGGTGAACTGTGTGCTCGTTTGCCACTCTTATTCTATAAAAAAATTCATTTCTATGCTTATAACGCTGAGAAAACTGGAGTAAAAAAATATGTCTTTTTCAATAATAAAATATATTATTAATACTACCAATAAGGTTATTGCTGCCTGCCTGACATTGTTTTTTTTTATGAAGCTAAAATGACAAACGAACTAACATTATACGTGACGGTAAATGGTTAATGTAGCCCATATACACCTGCCACTTACTCCAAACCCACACACTACACGCCTCTCAGTTTATAATTATACTGGTTCTCTATAGCCTTCAGAACCAGCAGGCATGCACGTACTGTTGTTAGAACATGGACCTAGAAAAAAGGGCGGCCGCCGTCTTTTAAAACAATTACTGATGCACCCAGAGCAAGTCAGCTCGCTAATACAAATAAGCCGGCACGCACACACGCACACCATAGTAAGTCTACCGCCCGCCACTACGCTTCCGCAAACCGCGCTTACACATAGTTACGCGGCCGCCATTGCGGTGCTTCAATTGTTTCTTAACGAGACTCTGTCCGCCCTTTTTTCTAGGTCCATGTGTTAGGATATGACGATATAGGTATGTTTACAAATGAAAGTTATCCGAAGTGAAGAGTTATTATCATCAATTATTTATAGGTAAAATATAAATTAAAATTAATATTGAAGATGGGCCGAAATAAGAGTATTAATGGCCGAGCGTGTATGCGTAGGTATATAGTTGTAAAGGAGGCGAGATACGTGTGTCAGGATCGTGCCAAATGAAAGTTCGTAGTCTGTGCCTACCTCTTTGGGTGACGGGCGTTCGAGTTAGTGAAATATAAATGTGTAATACCTTTATCACCTTTTCTACAGATTTTTTATATTGAATTATCAATTTTTATGAATAAATCCATAGACTTTTAGTTCGTCCCATACATATAATTAGCATCACAAAGTCATAGGGTATAGGAACGTAGCATAGAGTAAATTAACTGTTTAACTTTAACTTACGCAATATTTATTACATGTAACCACAAACTAATAAGAGTACTAACGTACATATAACTATTCGTTTCAATGTTACATATTATTAAGATCTTAGTGATTATAAGTTACGAAATAAGTACCAAATTATGTCCATCGATTGCTTGCGAGTCGAATTAATATGAGAATATTATAATATTCTGTCGGAGCCACAGATTAAGAAAATATTAATAGCGCTGCGGTAACTACGTTACTGTAACATTATGCGGAGTCGGTAGCCTTTTTGTAGTTGCAATATATATTTTTTGAATATTTGTTTAGGTATTTTTTGTTTGTAAAATTGCTATATGTATTGTTATTTGTATTGAAACTATACCCAAACGAAACGTCGGGAATTAAAAAGTCAAAATTAAGCGCGATAAAATCCGTAAAATTAGTAAAACTAGTTTCATTTAATGTTTAGTGTTTGCATGAATATAAGAAGTCATTAAATGAAATTAATCATGAAAATCTTTTAATCATTCGTATTTGTATGCAATTTAAGAACTTAATTATGTTAAATTGCTATATTGAAATATCAGTGCAAATAACTAATGTGTAACGTTAAATTATAATATTGTATCCTGAACAGTTATGACCGATTGTTTTCTTTCAAAATTCAAATTTAATAGTCCCGGGCCATTGGTTACTATCGCACTTAGATATACGGTAGTACTGATATAAAGAAACATCTTTATTTTTTTTCTAATAACAAATTTGTATCCGCAGTGGAGGACGCGAGTGGTCGCTACACGTCGATGTTCTACTGGGGCAACAACTACTGGACGGGGTCCGCCGAGCTGTGCCAGGTGCTCAACGACCAGCACGACGCCAGTCCCGTCAAACAGTATAACAGTAAGTATTCAACCGCTACACGTCGATGTTCTACTGGGGCAACAACTACTGGACGGGGTCCGCCGAGCTGTGCCAGGTGCTCAACGACCAGCACGACGCCAGTCCCGTCAAACAGTATAACAGTAAGTATTCAACCGCTACACGTCGATGTTCTACTGGGGCAACAACTACCGGACGGGGTCCGCCGAGCTGTGCCAGGTGCTCAACGACCAGCACGACGCCAGTCCCATCAAACAGTATAACAGTAAGTATTCAACCGCTACACGTCGATGTTCTACTGGGGCAACAACTACTGGACGGGGTCCGCCGAGCTGTGCCAGGTGCTCAACGACCAGCTCGACGCCAGTCCCATCAAATAGTATAACAGTAAGTATTCAACCGCTACACGTCGATGTTCTACTGGGGCAACAACTACTGGACGGGGACCACCGAGCTGTGCCAGGTGCTCAACGACCAGCACGACGCCAGTCCCGTCAAACAGTATAACAGTAAGTATTCAACCGCTACACGTCGATGTTCTACTGGGGCAACAACTACTGGACGGGGTCCGCCGAGCTGTGCCAGGTGCTCAACGACTAGCACGACGCCAGTCCTGTCAAACAGTATAACAGTAAGTATTCAACAGTGTGAAAATGTTAAAAATATATCTCCCCATTTCGTCCCGTGGATTTAATAATAGGAGACATAGGGAAATACCCGAAAAATCTTACGACTTCCGATAGATAGTCCGGTTTCCGATAAATAATTCCTATAAAAAAATAATGTCAGTGGCGGATTATCCTTAAGCCAAACTAGGCATGGAAAACTAAACTAGGGCGCAAGGTTACAAAGGGGCGCGCGCGGAAGTTTATAAACTAAAACAATAATAATTAAGTTAACTTACATAAAATAAATAAATAGACTTTTTATAGAGACGTAGAGATTTCGAAGCGCGCTCCATCTACTTGATTACTAGGAGTATACAGTAGAGAATAGAATAGAATAATTATTTATTCAATATAGATTACATGTAATTCTTATTGAAAGTCATTTTTTACTACCACTGGTTAACACTGGTTCGGATAAAAACCTCGGTCCTGGGAAGAACCAGCAAGAAACCCAGCGAAACGTTTTTTTAAAATAAATTTTACAGTGTGAATGATTACAAAATATTTACAAAATTTATTTTAGAAACAGCTTGGAAGAGACCACACTCTCTTATCTCATTTTTCATTCAAGCTCAGCTGTGACGTGTTCTAATTATTTTGCAACTCAAATATATTATAAATTATATTATATCTTATTTGCAAAAACGTAATTATAATTTATAATATATAGCCGCTAGGAGGCACCGATGAGGTGCTAGCCTAGGGTGTTATTGGCTTTTAATCCACCTCTGTTTACCTGCATTATATTTCACCTGATAAGATATTCTTCTATATCTCCACTTCTAACCCCACTATTACTCCTAGTACACGTGGTAGAGACATGCTGTAGCTATTTTATTGTACATGTTGATGATAGTTGTAGCACGAATGGGTCAGCTCAACATCACGCTCTCACAGAATACCAACGTGAAATAGAAGGTTAAGACGAGGCATGATGCTAAATGCAAGTTTTATAATGCCTCAAAGTATATGATCCACTGCAGTACACAAATCCAGAAAATATATGATATTGTCCGGGACATATGCTAGTTAGATAATGTGTTGAAAACATGATACCACTAATTTAATACGACAGAAAAAAATCACAAACATACCTCTAAAAATTTCTTTTAACGTGTAAAAACCATACTAGTATACATACATTCATTCTGATTTTTTGTCAGATTTTTAAACATTCAACATATTAACGTTGTTTAATTCATTAATAGTGTTTTAAATTTTTAGTCCAACTAATAGTTTTTATTTATTTTTTAAATCGTGTATTCTTATTTCTGAAATAATACGTACAGATGTTTGCGTAAACGCCTGTACTTCAATCAGGTATACCGCGTACGCGGCACCAGGTACGCGATCAGGTCCAGTACCGATTACCAAAGTACACCTTCAGGTCACTCCGTCAAGTCCGGAGGTAAGGACTTATCATACCTAACAAAACGTGCCCAAACTCGGCAGACCTAGTAGTACTCGGCGGCGAGTTCCAATAGCGATTACTAAAGAACACCTTCAGGTCACTCCGTCAAGTCCGGAGGTAAGGACTTATCATACCTAACAAAACGAGCCCAAACTCGGCACACCTAGTAGTACTCGGCGACCAGTTCCAATACCGATTACCAAAGTACACCTTCAGGTCACTCCGTCAAGTCCGGAGGTAAGAACTCATCATACCCAACAAAACAAGCCCAAACTCAGCACACCCAGTAGTACTTGGTGATCAGTTCCAATAGCGATTACCAAAGTACACCTTCAGGTCACTCCGTCAAGTCCGGAGGTAAGGTAACAAAACAGTAAAATAAATTTGAATTTTCAAGTGGTTTTATTTGAAACTATTCTTATTCTGTTATTTTAGCTATTTTGCCAACGAAACTTAGGTTTTTATAGAATTTGTGAGTTGGCGTTTTAAATGTAGGTAAATATATGTAAATAGTTGACTAAGTTCCTGCTCATATCATAAAACTGACTTTAAAAAATATTGATAATTAAAATATAGTGTGATGTCCAGACTCCAGACCTCGTAAACAGTTTTGGTATTAGTGAGTAGGTACTCAAAAAATTATTACTATAATACCTAGTAGTGTTGCGAACAGGAGACCTCACGGAATAGTTTTTGTTTGGAGGTGAATTGTCAGCTTGCTTTGCGCATACTGTTGTTCACGCTGCGCTCTCCGACAGCCGGTTGCGCGCCGCCCACTGCGGGACGCGCGGGTGCAAAACGAATTTGAAATCGTGCTAAGACCTCGTCTTAATGCTGCTGTGTCTCGTATGGTGAGCGTAGAGAACCGGAGACCCTTTTACTAGAAACGAGACGTTCCATCTTAGTCCAAGTGACAACGCATCTGCATTTTCATTCGTAATCGCGGATAGACATATTTCTATGGGCCACAGTATCCACTCACCATCAAGTGGACTGTGTGCTCGTTTGTTACTCTTTTTCTATAAAAAAACGTATGTAACGATATTTTTGCCAGTTTTGAACCGCTCTTAACGTTTGTTTTTTATTAAATATATTATACCTTATGGGTTATCTCAGTAAAAATTGAAGATAATTTCACCCCAAAGAGTAGAAAAATACAAGATTATTTTTAAAAATTCATTTGATGCAAATATTTAAACGATATACTAAGGTACGTGAGGGTAATATGTTCACCTAAGCTTTTCCGCTCAAACTAGGACGAGGACAGAATATATTAAGAAATAAATAGCAAACAAGCTTAGACAAAAATTAGGAACACTTCGAATAATCAACTTAATTAAACTAACTACACTACACAATACTAAAATTGACTAAAATATTTACTATACTGTCACCTGTCATAATGGCGTCGATAAAGCAGCGCCCTTTTGACACGTTATTATTGATGAAGAGCTATCGTATCACAGAGCCATCTATGCAAACAAGGATGTAGTTTTTGAGTTATAGGAAAGTGACCATATTAACCGGATGACCATATTACCCTCACGTACTATAGTTGTTAACTAGAGGTTGTAATTTTGCTTGGTCCACTTAAAAGGTCAATTAACCTTTAAGAAATGTAAAAATCAACTTCAAAATACTAAAAAGAATAATGTTGTATATTTTCCACATAGAACAAGAAGCACATAAACTAAAAAAAGCAGTAATCTAGACGTTAAGGTTCGGGTATGTAGGCTTTTAGCCAGTCTTATATTTCGCCTGAATTCTTCTTTTCCTCATCCTATTCTTTTATTCCTCAACCTTCCATTATTCTTCCTTACAACGGCAGGGTCCATGTTTGAAGTAAATTTATACAAAGTTCTTTTACAATTTTTTTTTACTTATGATCCACTAAAGTAATTATTAAGATTATGATATAACATTGGCTATAAATAGACACAGATCTCGGTCAGTGATTGTTTTATTAGATTATATCCGTACATTTAGACGCAACCCAATATGCGCCCCGTCACTTCTCAAGGCAGCCGGTCATAGTAAGGACAGTGTTTAATCTATCTTATGAGGTTGTAGCCCTGGGTTCATTCGTCTGAATTAGAATGTCTTAAAAGCATAATTGAAGATAAATTATGTGTCTAGTAGATTTGAATGTGCTAGTTGTGCTACTTCAATTTACGCCCGAATATTGCTCAATGTTATTATTATAATTGGGGATATTTTTATAGTTTTCTCATCCGGTTGGGTTTTACAAATATATAATTGTATATAGTGATAAATATACGTAAATTAAAATAAAATAAATACATAAAAATACATAAATAAATAAAAACCCAACCAGATGGAAGCCCTCGGCAGGGGCGAGCGCTATCGAGGAGCACCGCCTTCTGCATTTGAGCTTGGAGCGGTCCGTCATGGAGTAAAATTAATCCGTTCGCAGAAACGACTACAGGTATAATTTCGGTTGGCCCACCCTACGTGTCGATCACCTCGTGAGCCAGGTCTAGATATTTTGTAAAAAATTATAATAACATTACTATTGTTACTACCCAATTCGTTCCGCGGGCTTATTATGAGGAGAAAATAAGAAACACCAGGAAAATACAATTGCTTCCATTAGATAACGCTATCTTTCTAACTTCAAGCAAGGAAGACTATATTTGCGTTGTTGCCTCTGAAAAATGAGATGGAATGCCTTACAGCCGCTTTTTTTAATACAATTAACGTGGCAAACGAACTTACAGTCCACCTGATGGTAACAAATTTGATGTTGACAAAACCTTTAGTCAACATCAAACGAATAAGACTACATACTACACAACATATGCGTTGATGTTTCTGAAAAATAAGAAAGTAATCCTTAAGGTAGGTCCGCACTAGGCGGAAGAAAAAAAATATGGATATTGATGGAAAAATGTGAAGGAAGCGATAGGTGTCACCTTGGTTAAACTATAGATATCCGGTACCCGCGTAGGGGTAGGGGGAGTGGGGCATTTTAGAGCAAGCCCCACCTACCCATCTCACTTTGCGGAAATGTATCGTTTATGAGTAATAATTTTTTTTTTGAAAAATCATAACCTCACTTTTTTATACAAAGTTACTTTCGCAACGGCTTCGGCACTGCGGGATGTGCAGCCCCTTCGCCCTTGGGTAACAAATCGCAGGCACCCATGCTCGCCTCCGCAGCTTCGGCTTATTGATCAGCCCCAGCCGCGCTTACTCAGGGGCCTGCGATTTGCTACAGCGGGCGGGGGCTGTTCTCCCTCCGCGCAAGGGCTTTACAAAAACACTCTAGGGATAGGACAAACAAGACTACGTGGAGTCGGGGCGTGCTGATTCGGTTTTAAAACAGATTCGACCAATCTTATCTATAAAGTCAGGTTGCCCTAAACTCTGCTATGATAGTGGTAAATGAAACAACGTAATGTGAATTGTTATAATTTTGTTTTCTGAAAAACCTCTTGACTGCTATCCACTGCGGCTCAATTTTTTATATTATATAAGTCCCGTCTTCAGCCATAAATGGATTCCTGGGTTCGAGTGATTAACTTTTTAAAGGGTGTGTCCATGTTAAAAAAAAATGACATATTTGCGTTTCTTTATAAGCAATTTTTTGTGAAATTTATTTTTATCGTAATTAATTCAAAACGCATTTCCGACATCCAAAAACATTGTAAAAGGTTCAAGCTTAACCTTGACAAGCCTCCTAAACAAAAAACATAATTTAAATCAAATACCGGATATCTATAGCCAACCTTTGCTAGTCTAGCAGTCACCTATTACGAAAAGCTAGGCACCCAGAACAACTTGTGTCTCACATATAACTTTATGTTAGTCAAGGAGTGGGACAGTAAATATGTCTATTACATACATTTTAGTAATTTTATTGCACTGTTCTGCGTTTTATTGACTGTTTAAAATTTGCCACTTGTCAAATTTCAAACAGTCAAATCAGTATGTGCTTTGATAGAATATTCACTCCTGCAATTATACAATTACAAAAGTATTAAAATTGCGCCGCAAATAATAAATGATTGTCAATAAAATATATTACATACATATAAATAAGCACTCACGCCTGTCACCCAGAGGGGTAGGCAGAGACTACAGCCTTCCATTTGGCACGATCCTGGCTTCAAGATCGCCAATTTGGTCGACAAATTTTCGCCTAGGGCGTCCCTTACCGACTCTGCCGTTTACTTCTGCCACATAAATTTGCTTTGTCACTCTTTCCTCGTTCATTCTTTCTACATAATCAAACCACCGAAGCATTCCTTTCTTAATCCTCGTCACAACATCATCTTGCATACCACACTCTTCTCTCATTACGCAATTACACCGAGTTCCCCGCACCCCTTTAATGGGGCAGGGGTGCGAATTATCTCCGGGAGGAAAACCGGCGATGAGGTTCGCCACCCGGAGGGGCGAATAGTGGATTGCGGAAGCCCGCCTGGTTATGTTGGATGTGTATGTAAAATATATTATTTTAGATTTTATTGGTTATTTATTGTATCATTTAAGAAGTATGGATACTTATCTTTCCCTGCCGCCAGGTGACATGGCCCTTCTCACTATGCCACTGCAGCAACCAACTTCTAGCCACAGATACGTTGTTACGCTTGAGATCTAAGATGGAATGCAGGCGAAAAGAATAGAAGCCTATGGCACTGATATTCTACATTTTTTTTTAATTTTCATTAACATATGAAATTGTTCAATCAAATACTACTAATTGAGTACGTATTATTTAAATTTCGATAGTTTTTAATTGATTTATTTATTTAGTTTACATTTTTGTTGTTATTTTGTTAGTAGGTACCAAAAGTTTATTTAAAATTAGTAGTTTTTATTGATAGATTTTTATAATAGTGGAAGATGGTGGGTGTTATCTATCCATCGCATTAATTTTTATCTTTGTGTTGTTTATGTCTCAGATTCCATATCAAACTTTCTCCCCGATATTGTTCTAAAAATTTTATTACTTCATTTTAACGTGCGGTCGAAAAACCGACACCGACGCTATCACAATAACATCGCACGCGCCATAAGCTATCAGACACCACTGCACCCTCCACACGCTGTCCCATCGTAGTGAGCCATCGCAATGGCCCATCTTGTAGAGGAGCTATCACACGAAGTCGCTGCAAATGAAGATGACATAATATCCAAATTTACCATTCGCTAAGATATATAGGCAATAAATAGTAATTAATATACATTTGACAGAGCATACTAATCATATGATTTTCTTCGGGACCATTTTACAACATGTTCTTACAGTACTACATAGTAAATAATATATAGGTATATAATACATACATATATATATATATATATATATATATAATGCACATAACATTATCATGAAAATAAGGTAGATTAATATTATCAAAATAATAATTCAAAATATTAGAGAGTGAACTTAAAGTACAAACAATTACTCATAGAATTTAAAAAATTTATTAAGCTTAATACTTGGTCAGATATTTTGTTATAAAAGATTATCTAGTATTTTGTTATCTTTTCTCAATTCAGAACGATGTTTATTATAGTTCCTTGTTAAACAATATTCATGTTTTCGTGGATATACAATTATTTCAATGTATTTTCAACTATTTCTTAATTATTATATATTGATTGGCTAAAGTCAAAATGTTAATATTTTTAAAGTTACGGGTGATCGAAATATGAATAGGGTTACTGCTTTTTTGCAAAATAAAAAGAGTATAATATGCATATTATAATACTATATTTATTTTCCTGTAATTCGCGATCGAATATGTTGCAATATGCTTACAGAGAGTATACCAAGAGTGTTGTAATAAGGTTACTATGACAGCTAGTTTATTCCACTAGTTGGTAATTGCATTACGATTGTAGAATTAAGTAATTTTTAATTAAAAGGAAATATAATATTTTTATAAATCCTTTATCTCTTATATATTTTTAAATGTCTTAAAAAAGAGAAAGTTATTAATTTAACAGTGTGTTCTATTTTTAATATAAGTAACATGATATTTTGGAAATTTCCTACCAATTCTGCTATTTTTTATTTACCCATACTTCCAGTAATAATTGGAATTGGTTTTAATTTTTTATAACACTATTTTTATTATATAAACGTAGCTTAATATTTAAATTTTAATATGGCGTTAATAATAAGAAAACGCATAGATGGTTGATATATATGTAATTTATTTTAATGAGAAATCAAAATTTGCATTTCACCCAAAAATTTATTTAGGGTCAACTCATATTAGATGGTTAGTTTCTCAAAATTTTTCCCATTGATAAAATATCGATCGGGCTTGGTTTACTCGTGGGATACGGAAACTAAGGTCTTACCGTGGTTTCGTCCCTTTAGTGTCGTTTGGGCGACTGTGGTAAATGCCAGAAAATCTTATGGCTTCAAATAGATCTATATTTTTAAATATATTCTTAAAATAACATTACCCCCTCCATATCCCCCTCACTAAGATTTTCTCCTGAATCGTAGGGGCAGGTTACGAGTTACGATGTTTGTTCTTGTGAAATGTATGTATGTAACATACATTTCACAAGAACAAACATCCAGACCCGAAAGCATTATTTGTAGGCCATACAAATACTTGTTCAGTGTGAGATTCGAACCCGTGCCCCTTAGCGCTGCAACATATTGCTAAGCCAGTCATTGATTATTTTGTATTATTCATTCCCAAAATCCGTAAAATTCACCATTCTCCAAAACAATAAGAAATACATAAAAAAACATATTACAACAACGAAATGGCAGCGACTCAGCATAATGCAGTAACAGAGTTAATACAGCGTTGATTTTTTAAATTGAATAAGGGTAACAAACGAGCACACAGCCCACCTGATGGTATAAGTGGATGCTGTGGCCCACAGACATCTACATTTATCCTCGATTAAAAATCAAAATGCCGATGCCTTGTCACCCCGGAGAACTAAGATGAAATGCCTCGTTTCCAGTAAAAAAGGGTTTTCAGTTCTCTACACTCACCATCCAAAACACAGCAGCATTTAGCTGATATTTGACGCTGGTGTTCTGTGAGAGCGTGTTCCTTCCTCGGAACCCACATACAAATATCTTTAATTATATATATCGGGGCAGCATTAAATTTGGCGAGACAAGCGAACCTTCGGAGCGAAATAAAGTGAATCAGTGTGATTTGTTATTAGTGTCTTTTAAATTTTAATTACTGTAAAGTGAATTAAAGTGTTAATTTTGGTAATTCAATCGGCAGTTTTTATTGTCACGAACCCTAAGCTCGGAACAATATTATACACATTTAATCTAAAAATGTAATTACACAGCTTAACTAATTTTAAGTTTTTATTTAGTTAATCTAATGACTTTAAAATAAAATTTAGTCCTGAAATCGAATGAATTCAAATATCGCTTTTTTTATTAACTGTTTAATTACAAGCCGAAAAATTAAAGATATTGCAACTGCAGCTGTAGCTTGTCTCTACCACGTAAATATATTTTTATCTTTATTATCTTCTTATATAAATATATTTCTTTCTTTCAGAAAGCGACGGTTCTATTTTCGGCCAATGGCGGGACGACGTTTCGATGTCCGGGTCAGGGCCGCCCTTTTGCGACTGCCTTTTACAACGTGCGAATGGTGATCACCACTGATCAACACGAACTTATCAAAACGGTAATCCAAATACCATCTTCTCATCCATTTCTTTGTCCATGTTGAGGCGCTACTCCTAGCGAACGACCTTGAGCGTTCGGTCCTATACACTCCATGCGCTCTCGCTACAACATATCGCGTAAGAAATACGCTCAAATTTTAAAATATTTTCTTTATAAAATCGAATTTTAACCCTTTGAAAAAATTAAATAGATCAAAGAATTTATTAATAAATTGCCTATCCTTGCCATAAATGTCAATCGCAAAATATAATATTGCTATTTTACGAGGAGATGCATGTTATCAATAATTATTTCGCATTTCTATTATTATGGTTTAGTTCTAGGTAGATTCATCAAGTATTTACTCCTTTTAAAAAAAATTGATATTTGCTATTATGGAATCAAGATTATGTTGATATTTAATAGATTTTTTATTAGTTGATATATCTTTTTATTAACAAGATAGTAGTAGATAGCTCCTAAAAACCTCATAAATAACGATTAGTGCGGCATTTTGCTCAAATACGCACCATAACTAAGTTAGTGTACTTTGGGTATGTTTCGAAATACAACCCAGTACACTGGCAAATGCAAATGACGTCATCAATTGTCACTATATTGTACTGGCGTGCCGCCGCCATATTGCGTCGGATATCCGGCCACAATAAAACAATTTTTAATTGTGTGTGCGCTGTATGAAGCATGCCAGAATTTGTTTTTATTTATTCAAATACAAAAAAAATATAGAGTAGTTGCTGGTTTCTTCATTATTAAGATATAATGATTTTTGGAACACAAAATGAGAAAATAATCGCCAACACTTTTCCAATATGGCGTAAATGTATGACGTCATATACTCGTACTGCTTATGTTTTGGAACGAATCACCAGTATAGCGTCGATTCATGACGTCATTTGCATTGGACAGTACACTAGGTTCTATTTTAGAACATACCCTTTATAATTTTCGACTAACATTACTCTTACTAAAAAACACAGTACATTAACGGTAATAGATTGTTGACGACAAAATTGGCCAATTGCCAAAATTGCAAAATTTGCCAGACCCAGTTATTAAATCATTTTTATACGTGATAGAACCATGCCGCAGTTATATTAGTAGTATAGTTGTAGCACAAATGGGTCGGTTCGACCGGGGAAGGACCACGCTCGCACAGAATACCAGCGTAAAATAGTAGCTTAATGCTGCTGTGTTTCGTATGGTGAGTGTAGAGAACCGGAGACCCTTTTTATTGGAAACGAGGCATTGCATCTTGGTCCTCACGGGTGACAACGGATCTGCATGTAATCCAGGATAGTTGTAGATGTCTATGGGCCACAGCGACCACTTACCAACAGGTGAACTGTGTGCTCGTTTGTCACACTACCGTATAAAAAAATCGTTACAGCCTATTAAAAGTGCGCAGCAGAACATACGCTCCCCTATAGATTGCACCCACTACCACATATTATTCCGTGGGTGTCGTAAGAGGCGACAGAAGAATATAAATCTGGAAATCGGCGCCAGCGCCTTCGTAATAACTAATAAAAATAAAAACTTTGGTTGCCAATCTGCTCGCCAGGCGTGGCAACTAAAGCGAAATCCCCCCACGAAGCAATCTATGAGGGAGGCCCATATTCAGCAGTGGACTTTAATTGCCTGAATGGATGGACGCTTCAGCTATATTATAGTGGTAGCACGAATAGGTCGGGTCGACCGGGGACTAACCACGCACTCACAGAATACCAGCGTAAAATAGTAGCTTAATACTGCTGTGGTTCGTATGGTGAGTGTAGAGATCCGGAGACCTTTCTTTACTGGAAACGAGGCGTTCCATCTTAGTCCTCAGGGATGACAACCCATATGCGCTTTGTTTCTTCTTCTTCGGACTGTGTGATCGTTTGTCACCCTTATTCTATAAAAAAAAAATCACGTGGTCTATATTGTGTAAATGTAATTAATCTGCCATTTTCCCGCAGCGTCGTACATTACACCTGGGGCTCTGCTTCCCGCGTTCCTGTTCAAGAGAGCAGGTCGGCACACTGATAGATGCAGTGCACTCCCCCGTCCTCCGTCATACCGTGGTGGCCGTTCGTTCCCCGCAGCACGGCGGGTACACGTACATTGAGGACCCAACCTTCCAAGTGTTATTGTAAGTATTATAAACTGTATTTTATAACTATTGATCCATCCCGGCATCGTACGAGTGGCTTATGAAATTCGACAACCACGCCACATATCGAATTTAATTGTAAATCTAAACCCTCCAAGCACCCACTAAAACACACAAAAAATTTACGTCAAAATTGGTCCAGCAGTTTGGGAGGATTTCAAGAACAAGCACACGTATAGAAAAATTATAATATTTATAAAGATAATCTTGATTAAAAATATGTACGACAATGACAGTCGTTCAAAGGTTTTAGTTTTAGCAGGAGCTTAACAGCGACCGATTGCGGCTTCTCTTTACGTAATAACTTTAAATTAGTGGTTTTTTACGTTTAGAGTACTATCATACTTCTCGATCGCCAAGCAAGTTATGTTTTTTTGCTTCAACTCTACTGTATAGACAATTCTTATATAACAAATTACAGTATAGTTTAGTGAATGTAATTTTTAAGACTGACCGTTCACCTCGTTGCAAGCGAATGTTCTGGCCCATAGACACTCAGCCCTTGTTGGAATTCAAGCTCGATAAAGAGTAATAAATAGTTTTATTAAGTTATAGCTTACAGTAACAATCAAGTAACAATGTACAATCAACATCTAGTTAAAGCCTATATTATATACCTCTCATTACTGGGCACTGGCCGCCTCTCGTTTTTGAGTGGGTTTCCAGGGCAAGGTGATGTCCGCCTTTCTCGCGGTGTTTTTCTTCACCGCCAAACACCTGGTAAATCTCCACTTAAAATTACAATTAACAATTTCTTTGATACCGGTAGGTTAACCCGATATGCTCGCGTACTGTGAAATTTTGGTGAACGCTTAGCCGTCGGCTAATGAGCCTCGAAAGCTCAGGATTTTAGTCGTGGTTTAATTGACATGTTGAAAAGGAATATAAGAACTTAAACAAAAAGCACACTCTACCGGAGAGTTGTATAAAATAAAACTTTTTAAAAGGCAAAGGTTTGTGCTTATCCTGCCAAATATCCGTTCAACAATCCAATATTAAGTATCAAAACGCAGACGCATGGTCACACATGTACCTAGATTCATTTATGCACATTACGTTTATCAAAGCATTCCAATTTATTGCATAAGATATGAATGTAAAACAGTTTGTATTACAAAATATACGTTTAACAACTCGAACTAACTTACATAAGAAACAAATATAAGAAGCGGTTCGTAAATTGTTGAACTAGTATTTTGTTAAATCATTTCTTATATTTACACGAACATTACACATTGAACGAAACTATTTATACGGCTTTTATCGTGTTTAGTTAACTTATTTTTAATTCCCGATATTTCGGGTGCTTTACAGACTGAGCGTCCTAATGTCAGTTAGCCCAGCTACGTTCAGTTTTTGAATATAAATTTTTGATCTGCTGAACCCGAAGCCTCGTAAATTTACAATAAGTTAATTCAACGCAATAAAATCTATGTAAGTTTTATTCAATAGTATTTTGTTTATGGATTGTGTACTCTAAAACGACTTGTTAAGGAAAACGAAGAGTTTTTAAATATAGAAATCCGGCGTAGGATGGAGGACCTCGTTAGCAGTAATATGCTTTAGACCGAAATTCGGTCCTGGCGGCCAGTCTCAACGACGAAAAGCCATCGGTGCAAGACAACATGGCAGCCAGTTTGATTAATAAATGTAAAAAAGGTACAGAAGCGGACTGAAAAATATTCTTTAAGAAAACAAAAACGCTTATTTTACGATACGTAATACAATAAGACACTGACTGAAGTTTATTTTTATAGAATAGGGGTAATAATGACCACATATTCCACCTGATGGTAAGTGGATGCTGTGGCCCATAGACATCTACATTTATCCTCGATTAAGAATCAAAACGCGTTGAAAAAGATGCGTTGTCACCCCTGAGTACTAAGATAGTATGCCTCGTTTTCAGTAAAAAGGAGTCTCCGGATCTCTACACTCACCATACAAAACACAGCAGTATTAAGCTGCTATTTTACGCTGGTATTCTGTTAGAGCGTGGTACTTCCCCTGTCCAGCCGACCCATTCGTGCTTCAACCATAATATTGCTGCAGCGTGGCTCTACCACGTATGAAAATTTGTATGTATGAAAATTTATAATAGTAATACCCAAGAAAAAAAGACTTCCATTTAAGCGTAATCAGCATCAAAAAATGAAATGTAAAAAAAAATTGGTCGCATATAAAAATCACTTGGTTAGCACCCGTCTTTGCTTAGGTTAGGGCTCTCACTAGTTGCCAACTCAATTGCACACCATTGTGAAATATATTTAAGTGGGAATAATGAACAAAATTGCCTGCAATTTTAATATACCTGCACTTGTTAATGACGCACTGAGTGACCCAGTTGTGTCATTACACAATAAATAATTTGTACATTCTGAGATTTGTTTCTGAGGCATAACTATCTACAAAATAGTTATAAAATATAGACTTATTATACTACTGCGTATTATAAAATGATTTCTTATATTTACATAAATGTATTGAATCAAAGTCAAATTCAGTGTCAAAATATTTTAATTCAAAATTGGTCTTTGCAAGAACTTTTTGTAAGTCAAAAAATTACGCCATCACTTCAACAATTTCTGCTGCAGGAAATCATGTGAGAAGAACACTCACAAGCAGACTATTTTTCTTCTAACATTTACAATATCTTACTCTATACAGGGTTATTTTTCAGAGTAGCAAAATTTCAAACTTACATTCAAATGTATAAATAATGATATACCGTTATTGTGGTCTTTAAAATACGAGTAAATGAGGCTTAGTTCTACTTTTATTCGAAATTATCCCAACATTTATGTGATTTATGGGGAACAACATCTTTGCCTACCGATCGACCCTTTTTTTATTACTATGTACGAGCAGCTATGCAGGTCTAAAAAGAGTAGTATCACTGCGACTTAAAAGACCTATTGTGATCCACGCTATGGCTATAGTTCACTACTAAGCTCTATATCTTCAATGAATGGAAGGAGTTGCTTAGCCGTGAGCAATTTCACTTCTTCTGGGCGAAGATAGTTTCCCAGATGAGTGTTACGTTTGCGCATTAAGGGTCCGCAATCAGTTAGGATGTGCAGAGGCGTTTCTTCCGTTATGTAACAGAACCGACACATCCTTGAGTTGCTAAGACCCAGGATGGACATGTGCTTTTTTAAGACAACAGTGTCCTGTTAGGGCTCTTGCCAGAATGCGCAATTTATTTTTACTTAATCCCAGGGCTTCTGAAGCGAATTTTCGATCAAAAGCCCGGATCAAGTATTTAGAATGTTTTAAACCTGGTGTGTCAGACGAGATCTTAACTGATTTATGGTGATAAAGAGTTTCAAGGGTCAGTTAACCCTTACGAACGTGTGCGTGCGCAGTAAAATCAGTTTAAATAATGCATTATCACTTATTTTGAATTTAAAAGACTAAAAGAACAGATTGGGATGTTTGAGTATTTTAACTTACTTTTCTTCACCATTCGTCTACAATACTTATTCTGAACCTTCTCTACAAATTTGGCTGGTTATTGCAAAATAACTCTGTACATAAAAATCATATGCTATACGTTATTTTCGCTAAATATATATAACTCAAAAACGGCTCGACCGATTTTGATGTATTTTTGTGTATGTTTGAATGGGTCCCTAGATATTTTAGATTCAAAATTGGACTCGATAGGTGGCGCTGTTATCAAGGTCTAGAAATCACCCGCGTGAAGCTGGGTGATTTCTGGACCTCGACAGTGATCGCTAACAAAAATATATATGTACATAAATTAAGAAAATCCAAGAAAGGTCATTATGTGTATGCATTCTTATCATCAGAAGAGTTATCGATTGGTAATATCGTATGAGTAAGTGACATGCTAAGATATGCAGGAAGTCGATGGATGCAAGTGGTTCAGGATCGTGCTTTGTCGGCATCCCTTGGGAGAGGATTATGTTCAACAGTGGACTTGTAAAAAGCTGTAACGATGACAATGATGGTGATAATTCTTAATAATAATAATAATAACACACATAGGTATGTTCGGCTGGGACAAAATAACAAATGTTAATTTGTCCCAGCCGGATATAATGCAAAAACTGACGGAGCGTATAGACGACCTGAAGCAAAGAATAGCTGCTTGGGGAAAGCGGATTCGGCGATATACCGAGAGGTCGACACGGTTCAACCAGAATCGTCTCTTCCAGAGTGATCAGAAGAGGCTCTATAAATCATTGGAGCGACCAATAGTAAGTGGAACGGGCCCTGCACCAAATCAGGCCGACACGGTCGCATTCTGGCGCAGCCTGTAGTCAGAGACCGTAAACCACAACGAGGGCCCTTGGACGGAAGTTGTGGCGAGTCAGTGTGCGGGTATTCCGCCCATGGACCCCGTCATCATAACGCCGGATGACGTAGCTGAGGTGGTCCGTAGGGCCCCGAACTGGAAAAGTCCGGGGCTTGACGGGCTGCATCACTACTGGCTGAAGGGGTTCATGGTGTGTCACGCTGTGCTCGCTCGACAGTTTCAAGAGGCTCTCAACCAGAAGTCGCTCCCAAGCCTCTTCACTACTCTGATCACTCATTTGGTTCCTAAAGATCAGGGTGCCACAGACCCGAGCAAATACCGCTCCATCACGTGTCTACCGACTATATACAAGACACTAACATCTATTTTGAGCGCGAGAATCGCTCGTCACCTGGACTCAAATCAGGTGATATCGCGCGCTCAAAATGGATGTCGGGGCGGCGGTCGTGGAACCAAGGAACCACTCCTCATTGACGCGGTCATTGGCAAAGTGGTGAAACGCAACCGTCGGAACTTCTCCGCCGCTTGGATAGATTACAGAAAGGCATTTGACTCGGTTCCCCATACATGGCTAAAGAGGGTCCTCGAGCTGTACAAGATTGACTGTACAGTTCGAGACTTCCTCGAGCAGTGTATGGGGCAGTGGAGTACGATCCTCTGTCATCTAGGCGAGCGGATGACGGCTGCGGAAAGTCGC